ATCCTGCTCTCCCCAACTTCTCCCCACCCTACCGCCATCCGCTCCTCAGAGAGAGTAAGGCTTCCTTCCCATAGGGAGTCAACAAGGTCTGGCACATCACTTTGAGGCAGAACCAAAGTTCTCCCCGCTGTATCTAGACTGAGAAAGGTATCCCTCCTAAGAGAATGGGCTCCAAAAAGTCAATTCAAGCAGTAGGGAAAAATCCTTGCCCCATAGCCAGTAACCCCACGGATTTTCCCAGCTACACAACTGTCACCCACATTCAGAGGGCTTAGTTTGGTCCTGTGCAGGTTTCTTTGCTGTCAGTCTGGAATCAGTGAACGCCCACTAGCTCAGGTCAGCTGTTTTGTGGGTTTCCCCATCATGGTCTTGACCCTTGGCTGATATTATCACTTCTCCCTCTCTTCAGCTGAACTCTGGGAGCTCAGCCCAGTGCTAGCTGTGGATCTCTGCATCTGCTTCCATCAGTTGCTGGATGAAGTTTCCATGGTGACAATTAAGGTAGTCATCAACCTGATTACAGGGGAAGGCCAGTTCAGGCATCCTCTCCACTGTTGCTTAGGGTCTTAGATGGGGTCATCCTTGTGGATTCCTGAGAATTTCTCTAGTGCCACATTTTTTTGCTAGCCCCGTAATAGCTCCCTCAATCAAGATATCTCTTTCCTTGCTGGCATCTTCGACACACTGTGATACCCTAGTTTCTGACACAAGTGACACTTTCTTGCTGTGCCCATATGTAGAGGGAGAGGTAAAGGGATCTCTCTAGACTTGCAGGTGTCCAACCTTTTGTCATTGTGATAAGGCATTGTCATCTGCAAATGCATTGGACTGCATTCATAACTGTACTGGAACAAACGCAGCCACATTTTGCAAGTTGGAGCGGCTTGCCCCAGCTTTTTAAAGGATAATAATAACATGTGTATAAAGGTTTTAACCTTCATAATCTTGCTATCTGTCCAAGACTCCTAACTCCTAATGTGATCATCTTGCGGGGAAGGATTTCCACACTGGAATCGAGGGGATGGAGATATTAAGACTACCACAGAGGCTATCTCAATGAGTTCCTTGCAGCTCTAAAAGTTCCAGAAGAGGCAGGGTGACCTCTCCTCAGGCTTCTGTCAAGATTACATGCCTTGATTATTGTATTGTAGATCCAGTCAATAGACAGAGATGGACTAGCGAAAGCCCTTCATTAAGCCCCCACCCCACTGATTTCCGGTGTGTGGGATCAGAGACTGCAGATGGCTAGGAGTGGAGATTTTCCTAATAGACGAGTTCTATCATTCCACAGGGCTGAAAGCTAGGGATTGCAGTGAGTAGTGACCTAGGCAGGAAGAAGATACGAGTATTTGTATTGATAATGTGATGAGCCTTGATAGATGGAGAAGGAAGTTGATCTCACAGTTGCATAATACAAATGTGGAAATCATAGCCATTGCTAAGCATTTATTATTTGTCGGGCAAGATGATAACCTGTTATGCAAGGATTTTTCCACCTTATTCTAACAAGCTCATAAAATCACTAGTATTGTCTTTTATTTTGGTTGAGGAAATAAAGTGATAAAGGCAATAATATCATAATGTTAATAAATGGTAGAATGGAACTTCAACTCATCTTCTGACTTCAGAGTATGGTTTCTTATATTCTGTGCCACAACTTTCCTGATGTTAAAGGCCTTAAAATATTAAGTGTTTGAAATACAATAAGATCTCTTGCAACAGTAAGATGCCCAATCAATAGAGTTACAGGAAGACAGAACTACAGAAAGTACAGGAGGTTCTAGGTTAGAGATAACAAAAAAAAAAAAACTAACACCACAGAAGCTTTACATCAGTCCATTTCTTGTTTATAAAACAAAGGAGTCAAAGAAATGCCTATAAAAAGAGCTTTGTTTGTCTAATCATTTCAGAGGCTGTTACTCAATATTAGATACCCAATAGCTCTTGACTATCTGCTGAAGGCTTCATGGTACATGATGCCCTAATGAGTACATATGGAAAAAGCCCACAAGGAAAGAAAGGAAGCCAGATAAATTCTGGGGTGCTCCTTCCTTCCTTCCTTCCTTCCTTCCTTCCTTCCTTCCTTCCTTCCTTCCTTC